GAAACATGATAAATCAGAAAATAAGCTCACATAGGAAAATAAAACCTGAATTCAAAATGATACAGAATACAATTGACCTTGTGGAGATTTTCAACCATCTCAAATACCCTACCTTAGCTTTCTTGGGTCACAGCTTTTAAGGAGTCTGCTTTCAACAGAAGCGAAGCGCAAAATGGACTACATGCTCTGTTGCAGATGCTGTATTCAATTCATAACAAAGGATGTCGGTGATTGATTAAGAATGGGGCCTGTTGTCCTTTGTGATTGCTTATTGACCTGTCTGACCTGGATCATTACAAGGGTTTATACAACCTCACCGTTCTGCCCATGAATATATTATTTTATTAACATCAAGTGAAATGCAAATTATAAAAAGTAATTTAAGGCTGAATGTCGACTCTCAGTAGGAGAAAGGGACGAAAAGATGACTAGTAAAGCAAAAATGATATTGAAATGGCCTGCCAGCAAGCTCTCTTGGCAAACGTTAGAGTTAGATGGTAGGGCATTGCTTAGAATTCAGAATGCCGTGTGCATAATTTGGACGTCGCGTCCAAAATTTGGACGCAGCGTGCAAACAGTTTACATTGGACGCAAAATTTTGATTGGTGGAGATTAATTTATTGATGATGAGTAAACATGTTGCATAGTGTTTTATCACTCAAGCAGAAAAGCGAGTTTAGCTATTATTGCAGTAAACTTCGGAGAGCAGGAATATGAGAAAAAAATTTCTGTTAAGTACTTTGAAACTTCTTTCCAAGGATCCCTTTCTTGATCCAAATGTTTCGTAAGTTTAGGAAAAACAGCTATGCCTTCACTCGCAAGTCGTCACACCCTGAGTGCTTTTAATAGCGAAGGAAAGGCAGGGTTCTAAACGCAAGCTAGAGTCTTTTTTGGCGCTTAACACAATTAAAAGTTCAAAAACGTGCACCGGGAATTTTGAAGCGGAAATTTTCACGAGCAGAGAAATATGTTCCAGCTGTACTGAGCAAAAGAATTATTTCAAAAGCTGTGTTTTGCGGTTTGACCTGCTGATTGGTTTCTGAGAGAACCATGCTCTTTCGGGCGTGTGATTACCTGTTTGTACTGAATGGCTTACGCTGCCCACTGGGATAACCGAAAGCGGTGGAAGGTTTTAGGGGTTACATCCTGGCAAGCTCTCAAAATAAGTATACCTCCATAAGAAGGACATTTCTTTATTACGGACAGTTCAGTTTTGTCCCTCATGACAACGGACCCTTGTAGCTCGTTATCATCATTGCTATCGGTTTTGAAGTCAAAACAGACACCCACTCAGTCTGATAAACACAAGAAATAATAATAATAATAATAATAATAATAATAATAATAATAATAATAATAATAATAATAATAAACAATGCCCCGCAGCTGTGAATGAATACTACTGGCGACGGCCTGTGAACTGCAGAGCAGAACGTGAAGAAACAAATATAGTAACTGGAATTATTAGTCTTTGGTCTTATCCATCTACTGTTGCAAATTCTTAAAACTAATACGTAAGAAAGAAATACTAAAGCTAAGAAAAACTTGTATGATAGTCAAGTCAGACTTTGCCGGTCATGGTCAATGCTTTTTCAATGGGGTCTGATCTGTTTTATGTTGGTGCAATATTACGAAATTATTTTCTGCTTTGTTTACCTAGAATAAATCACATTGTTTTCTTATTTTACGCGCCAATCTCGCGTTAATACATGTACATATCGGTATCAATTCAACAATATTCCTTGCTGTCGTGAAATTAACATGATAAAAGATGCTCCCTTGTTACCAAAAACCTCACCTATTCCGCAGGAAAAAAACCCTTGGTCAGTTGAAACATTTTCTCTGCTGGTTAAGTCAAAAGTTGAAGATCCGAGGTTGTAAACTAAAATTGTGGCTGACGGCCTTTGGTCGTACACGAAATACATGTTTTAAATCGCTGGGAACTTAACTTGAGATCATCAGATCCTGGAGAAATGAAAGCAGCTCATTAATAAAATATTGTGTTAGCCCGGTTATTGTTTTCTAAGTGCCATAGTGCAGATGTTTCTATCAGTTCCGATCCTCTAAGCCTAACACGAGTGCCCAGGTGATATTGTTTGTTTATCTAACGTAAATTGTCCTCGGAGATCAACGGGCAATTATATATCCGGGGCAGGACAACGTAAAATCGGCAAAACTAAAAGTAGCAAAAGATCGACTGAAGCTCATGGCAATCGAGCCGATTTAATAGGTCACTCTCGACATATTAAAATTGAGTTTGATAGTGAGGCCTAGAGGACACAAACAAAAGAAATGAATAAACATGTTATTCAATTCCCTTTGTTTGTGTCCTCTGAGCCTCAATGCCAAACTGAATTTTAAAATATCGAAAACAGTCTACTGGAAATGACTCTCTGAATGCTGGCTACTGACTGGGCAGGAAAGAAACAGTTTCATTATTCTGTCCAGTCAGCGAACAGAAACACTTTCGCTTGATCTTACTTGGTACATTCATGCGGTGGAAATTCTCATTATAATTTTCTTTATAGAGCCGAAAAAGTTGAAAAATCATTTCGGAATTCGGCAAGAAAGATACCTAAGGATCCTCCTACCTTTAATTTAAGAAGGTGATTTCCACATCGATTTTATGGCAAAAATCTTGCACCTGAGAGTTATGTTTGGAAGTAGAATTGAATTATTTTTCTCCTCACTACAAAGATCAAACACAGCGAGAGGCCCAAGCCTGACGCACTAAGCTCAGCGCTTTGGTTAAAATATCTGCGAATTCCCTTTCTCAAACTCCATGGAACTTATTTTGAATGTTTTCTCGAGTGCAAAAGTCGTTCGAGAAGAAATTCTCAGCTAACTAGCTAATATCTAGTTTTTGACAAATGGTCAGAATTTATAATACTTAATTAATACCACGCTAAATTAGCCGCTGAGTGCCGCTAAAACGACTAATACTGAAAATGTTCTTGGTGAGAGGACTTTTTTTTTTATGAAAATACTAGTTCAAAGTAGGACAGGTTGTAATTTGTCCAAAAATTTAACCTACACTTTCGCCCTTTTTAAGGCAAAAACAAGGGAATTTCTCTTTGTCTTTTTTTTTTTCGTTGATAAATTACGGTGCCTTCGTCTCGCGTTCCTTAAATTTTGCGTCGTTTGGCGGGTTAGAGTAAATGGCTCTCTCACGCAATTAACTTTTGGCGTTTAATAATGATAGGTTTAATAATGATTTTTATAGGCCAAAAGTCAAACTTCTGAGGGAAGTGGCTTCTATATGATCGCGGCGACCACAGTTAGATAGCTGTAATTTTATCTCTGATAATAATTTTTCGTAGTCAATCATAAAATCACGGCGAGAAATTTCATATGGTCCAACTCCAAAAATAAATTTTAAAAGCGAGAGACAGGTGATTAACAACGTTTTAACGTGATCACTTTTTCTCTCGGGCTAATACATCCATGAGGATTGTTCTCATCTAAAATTATTGTAAAGCGTAAAGTAATATGAAATTATATGGAGTCTCAGTGTTCGAGCCTAGTGACTCATAGCTTGAGTGGGATGTTGGTCCAGAACATGGTTATCCCCAGGAAATTCTCCAGCGCCTTTGTGTGAAGCAGGCCACTGCGAAAGTCAAGCCCAAAGATACAACGGAATAAAACCGGCTAAGGCTTGAAGCTGGACCGCTTTATCTGAAAAAATAGACGCAATAAACAAACCACCTGAAGGCAGACGAGTAAACCTGGTTTAATCTTCCCTTGTCAATTCTAATTATAAACAGGGTAAAATGGTAAATATCACACGTGGAAAGGAACTACAGTCGAACCTCCGCTAACGGCCACTTCTCTACAACGGCCACAATTTTGTTTCCGGCGGATGGTCCATACGCTTACTCTTATCTTAACTTCTCTACAGCGGCCATCCCTTCACAACGGCAATCTAAAATTTGTTCCAACTGCCATAATAACCTATTGACAAAGGCCAGTTTATCAACGACTGACGGACAGTGAATACAAAACCCCGAAAAAACACACACACACACACACCCCTACTTCCTCCTAACGGCCACCTTTCTACAACGGCCAATTTTTACTCTGTCCCAAAGGTGACCGTAGTGAAGAGGCTCGACTTAGCTGGAAAAGGAGATTAATTCTCTTTAGGTGCAGCCATGCATGTTGGATACAGGATTAAGAGCCAGATGCAGGATTAGCGGGCAAGGCATAACTTGCTCCAAACGAGAATTGAGTTACTTCATTACGGATGTGGCTTAAATTGTTCAGCTCTGGCCTAAACCAAATGATATATATCTTTGGTAATAATATGGAACAAATAAAGCCATAAGCAGTCAAGAGCGTTGTAACACAGTCTACAGCAGTCACATACCATACATTCATTGAGAACTCTATGGGGTAATAAGCTAAAACTGAAAACGAAAATATGTACATCGAAAATGCTATTCGTTTAGCCTCACTAAAGTTTTCTGGTACTTTCCTTATTTTAAAAGAACAAAATGAAGCAAAAAGTATTTGGATGAGAATGTAAGAGCGCGTTGCCAGGAAGAAGCCTTGGCCAACTATTTCGCGGTATGCTTTACACTCAATAAAAATGTACTGTTCCGTTAGAATGTGTTTCTTTTTGATAGGTGGATCCAGAAGCTGCCAGGGTATTAACACAAGTAGCAACACAATATGCATGGCTATTATGATTACTACTTGCTTTCTATTGGTAAGAGAGATTACCACAAGTGGACGTGCTAATGGAATTTGGAAAGCACTGGAAATACGCAAAATTTTCACTAGTAGAAATGAGAGGCACAAGTTGTAAGTTAAGTAACGCCATGGATAAGTAATTTTGCATATTGTATCTGAAGGTTTAAGAAGATTGATGACCACCAGAGTTAAGAGCAACAGAATGCTTATCTGGAGGACGATGCTGAACTTCCTGTTAGACGCCTTAACAATTGGAGTATTCCAAAATCTACAGGTGACAGCAAACGAAAAGAGGGTGGCTACCATACCAGCAACAGTAAATACAACAATAGCTATTCCTCCTGGGCTGGAATACTTGAGATTGGACCTTGGTAGATCCACGCAATGGGTCCTGGCTTCATTGGATTTTTTTCCTCTGGGACATTCAATGCAGGTCTCCAAGCCAGGAATTGGATTGACTGTGCCACGAGGACATGCGACACAGTTCCAACAACAGGGTGAAGTTATGGATTTTCTAGTTCCAGCAGGGCATTGCTCCAAGCATTCAGACTTTGGAGGTTGGTTAGTTGGAGAGTTCCAGTGAATCTCTTGGGAAAAATGTAGCCGTTTGGCATGGGGCTCATTCTCTTTCCATTTTCCGACAACAACTTGTTCTAGTCGCTTAGTATGGCCTTCTTCCACTTGTTGAAAATTGACAATGTCGTACAAGACCGATTGTCTGTCGCCATCTTTATCAAAACTTACATTCCCCGTAAGTCCAACAAAACTAACTCTAGAAAGGAGGCCCTTCTTCACATTAATATCCATAGTGCGTTTCAGCTTGTAATCGATATCTTTCACTGTGGCGTTTTCAAATAAGACGTTTAAAGCATGTGCCATTGAATAAACAGCGTCAATGACGTAGGGAGTGTAAGAACTCTGCATGCGTTGAACAAAATCATGGAAACATTGCTCCATTGAATTTGCATTCTCATTACTTGCCGAGCAATTTGTTATCAGCGTCTTTATCTCGCTCGACCATTCTGGGAAGGTTTGGTTTATCGTTTTGATAGTTAAAGCTTTTTTACGTTCTTCAAATTCTGTTTCGGCGGAAAAACGATGAGGCTTGACTACTATGGATCCATCAAAAATGGACGAAAAACCTGGAATGGAGTCAGAAATGAATACATCGCTTAGGATCCAGACTCGGCCAGTCAGGTTTTGTCTGTAGACCTCAGTGAAAAAGTCCTTTGCGTAGGTGCCGTGTAACCATAAAATTACAACTCTGATGTTTTCGTACCGACGAAGCGTTGTAACAATGTTTCTTATGTTCAAAATGCGACCTTCGTAGGATATAAATTTCGTCATGGCAAGGCAGTATGAATTGTTTCTAGCTTCAGCTTCTCTGACTACTGACCACAGCCCATTTCGTCCATATGAGTCATCTTGTCCAACGGCGGCTACATAACTCCACTTGAAGTACTCTATGAGGTCAGCCATGGCTTTTCCTTTGAAAGCATCTGAAGGCGCCGTTCGATACAAATACTGATAAGTTTGAGCGCTTAGTTCAGGACTGGTCGCAGTCGGACTAATAACTGAAACATTTAAGACTTGAAGAAGTCCAGCGATAACAACAGCGGAGCTAGAGTCGTCCGGACCGATTAGAGCCGTGATCGATTTCTTTCCAAGTTTACCTCGCGTTAGGTTCGTGAGGAGCTTGCTTTTAATAAGATCGTAAGAGATCCGCGTAGCCTTTAGGGCAATTTCGCAATAATCTCGTATATCGTAGCCAAGAGATATGTTTGGGAGTAGGTTTGAATCGTTGTTTATCTTCTCAATAGCAAATATCATGGCGAACACGCGGTTTAAGCCCCTAACGTCAAGGTTACCGCATTGGTTTTCAGAATCTCCTCTCAAATGAACCCTTAAAAGACCACCCAAAATAATGTCTCCATCTTTGTAAGGCCCTTGAACAACACCATTTAAGATTGTAAGGCAGAACAAAACGAAGTGGTAGCGAGATAGAGGCTTGTAACTATTCATCTTTAACATGACGAAAATGAAAGGCGTTGTGTATTCAGTTGTAGGTTTTGTCGGCCCACTCCTAGCAACATTCTAGATGATTCCCAAGCCAGGTGCAAGTATTGTCGCTTGTATTAACATCATTGACATGCTGCCTGAGGCCTGTAACTATTCAGCTTTAACATGACGAAAGTGAAAGGCGTTGTGTACTTAGTTGTAGGTGTTGAGTCAATATCTATAACATTGAAGAATTACAAGCCAGGTGGCAGCGTTGTGGTAAACCAACAACATTAGCATGCTGCACACATAACTTATTTTCAATACGTCCACAATTTTGTTTTGTTTTGTTTTTTTTGAAAAAATGGCTAATTGTTCAGCGTTTCAACATGGCCATGCCTGGTAACATAAAGATGACAAGATTTTCGATGAGCGCCAATAAAATCATTTTGATATGTTTAAATAATTTATTTGTCAATTTTTTTACTTCAGTTTCTATGTTTATTTTTAAAGAAAAAAAGAAAAGAAAAGAAAAAACAAACAAACAAACAAAACCGACCAAACAAAGCAGCTCTGTTTTCCTTTTCACACGCCGATTTTAAAAGACACAACGTTCGCGCCCATTGTTTCTACGTATCCTTATTGCGCACGTAAGTCACGTCATACATTTAGCGCGCACTAAGGAAGAAATAAAAGCAAGTATAGGGCTTGGTATCGGTTGCGTTAACTTCAACTGCAGTTTTCATAACCAGAATACCGCCGCCAGACTGGTCTGTCAGCAAAGTGGATATTGCCATGGGCTTCCAAATACGAATACCCCGTGTCGTAATAACATCTTTTGTTTTCTTGTTTTCTTTTTTTCTCTTCCCTTTCCAAGGCTATATCAGTGACTGCAGAACTCCCAGTCTCGTGTAATGTCTTTTTTTTCTATTTATCAACTATTTTGTTCAAACCATTTCGCCATGTCTGCATTCGTCTTTGAAGCGCTTATTTACAATACTGTATAAATAATAGCGAAACGCATGTCTCTATATTAATACACAGATTTTATTGTAGCCAGTACACGAGCGAGAAAGGACAATTGTTACATATATAATTTAACACCGCTCATCACGCGGAGGTTTTCACAAGTCTTTTCTGGAGCGTCTTTGTCGAAGTCATAGGTCGTGTTCTATTGGGATCAACCGTTTTTGGCTGGTTGGGTCGACTGGGATTTTTCGTGTTCTACTGGGGAGAAACCGTTTTCGGTTGGTTTAGTTGATAAACTTTTTCAACCGGCCTGAAACCTTAAATTTTCGAAAAGTTAAGGAGGCTCTGAACCCTACCTACAGACTTTTTTTAAACTTTGCCAAGAGTTGCGTCTTATTATGTTTATCAAAAGTTAATAATATAAAAAAAATTTCGCCGTGCTGTTTTTGAATTATGAGCCCCTAAAGCTGTAATTAAGGGTGTTTTTAGGAGGTCATAGTGTTGCTATGGTAACCTTTTGCGTCACGAAAATGATAACAACGTGTTTACCAATGATTGGGCAGTTTTTTTTGATACCATGATTGTAGCATCAAGTGATAGAAAGTGGTTATAACGACCCATCAAAATCTAAGTGCTGGAAACTGTTTTGAGCCACCTTAATTGGAGCACTCTGTGGTTTTTCAGTTCTGATTACCTTAAATCTGCATAGCCAAAGAGTTAAATTAATTATATAAATTCTAAGACATTGACATTGTTTACTGACAGTTGTTATTAAATCAAATAAAACCGACGCGTTTGATTCCGGAAGTCGACAGTTGAAAGCAAAGTGTGTCAGGTATATTTTGCCACATTTTGCTACTTTCCACACTTATTAAATTCATTTTCAAACTTTGAATGACTCAAAGTAATCTCCTCACAGGAGAAACAGCAGTCTTCATGTAAATGTAGATATGTGACGTGACAGGCTTGTTTCTGTTAAATGATTAAGAAATAAAATTCACTGAGCTCGAAAAAAATAAAGCTTATCTTTGACAGAAAATCAACATTCTACAGCAAATTAAGTTCTTCCCGGTTACTTTTGTAAAATCTGATTGCACGAGTATTTTCTGAGATAAGGCTAATGTAAACACCGTCGCCATGAAAAGCCAACAAAGATAAAGGAAAGCACGTACTAGTCTGTTAGCTTCTGTTGTGTCGCCATTATTCACTGTATTCTCTGTTTCAATTCAACTGTGATCTGGCGACTAAATGATTATCTTTACGCTTTGCTCAGTCCTTTGAATTACGTTTTGTGGTATTATTGACCAATCCGAGAATAATTAAAAACACCGGCATTCAACGATTCATTTTTTGTGTCAATATTTTCGAAGACCGGAACTAGTATTAACGAAGTAACTGAAGTTTTCTTATTACAAAAGTTTATAGTTCTTACAACATCTTAACCCCTTGAATACCAAACTTTCGCCAAAAAATACTGGTTTTTACCGTTCAGTCAGGTTTTTTGGCTGCCATGACGCTAAATAAGCCTAAGTTTTTCTAAGATAGCTATATTTTACCAAAAGGAGAGATTTTACGAGGATTACGTACAAAATTGAGCAATATTTCAATTCCGGGCATGCGCATAAGCCAAAATTTGGACAATGTTTTTTTTTTTCTTTGCCATTACCCGGTCTCAATTTTGTTTGTCGCCCCTCTCCTTTCTTTTTTTCTCGGCCCTGGTGACATTTAAATTGATGACGTCACAAGTGGTACAAAGAGCACGACCATTAAGTGGCCGTAAATGGTTACTTGGGCGTCAAAGGGTTAAGACTATAAACTGATTGATAGATATTCTGGTTATTTGAATTCTTGCAGAACCAGAGCCGGCCTCTCATACGTCTTTTTATCTACATAAATGCTAATGCTTTACCAAGTAGATTCTTTCCACCTTTCATTCCAGTTACAACTGAATTCACATTGCTATGGTATGTGGCAAGAGAAGGTTGCTAATAGTGGCGGTACTCACATGTAGAGGGTTTTTGCTTTCCACTGTTTTGCCAGCTTGCTCGCCAGGTGTTGTTTTGATTAACTTTGTAAACACTACTTTTCACCTCATAGCAAGAGTACTTTTCAAGGGTTCCTTCGCACTTATACATAAAATACACTTTTTAAATTAAACTTCTAGTTCCCTTCTTATATAAATCTTGTCTCCATCGCTTCTATTTCGCTGACATAATCAAGGTCTTCTTCCACCTCTTGGGAAGCACTTACATTTAGCTCAAGACACTCCTCTTATTAAGGGCTGACAACCTGCTGAAACATCTTGCAACTTAAAGTGTTGAAAGCCATTCCTCCTTTGTAAACAATTTATTTCCATTTGCTGATCTTAGACTCTTCATTTTAAACGCAATATCAGCAGGATTTGCTTTAACACTGGTTTGGTCTCTTTGGAAGAATGCATCCTGCAAAAAAGACGAATGCGTTCAAAAAATCGGGTAGACTTCTTCGCTTTCTTCAGTGCCCAACCCTCCTCCAGTGAAGGACTGTCAGCTGATACTGAAGGCGATTCTGTCGCGGACGGCGCAACACCAATTTCGCCTCGCACATAGTCTCTAGTAACAGTTTTACAGGTTTCCGCCCACTTCGCTTAATGCTGTCATGGTCAGATTCTCTTTCTAACTTGATTAAGTGGCGACCAACATCAAGATGTTTCTGTAGACTTTTGAATTCCTGGTAGATTTTTTCACAGCCTTGTTCTGGGTAGAAATAAGAAGCAACCGATCGAGTTGCTGACTCTGTTTCTTCTGACTGGCTTATTTGTACCTCCGTTGGCGCTGATGGTCCGACATCTTGGGCCTGAGTTGCTACTGCACGAAACGTGCCGACATTTTGAGATGGTCGGATAAATGGCTGAAGCTCTTTGACTCCTGTGGGACCTTGTGGAGTACCATACTTATTAAGCCGTGCCAGCGAAAAAAACTTGCCGGTGCCCACATTGTGTGCCTTCCAAACTCTCAGTCCAATAATTTTCAGTGCTTGAATACCAGTCATCCTATGTTTCGTCATAATTATAAAATCTTGAATTTCTGTAACAGTGACATAACAGCCCTTGACACCACCATGCGATTCAATTGCAACCTTCATATCTTCGGCGTTGTTTATGTCATTTCCCTCGTTTATAAATCGCCGCATCTGACTGTTAAGAGTGGCTATACGGCGATCACAAACATCTTTGCCGGCTTGGGGGTCGCTGAAGTCGTAGCGGGAGGTTCTGATTCCGACACGCTCACCAATACTTGCAAGAAAGGCATTGTGATAGCACCCCAGCGTTATGGGATCGCAGGAAAGCCTCCCTGAGGTTGGAATAACTAGACTTTAAAGCCACAAGCGTACTTTCCAGGATCAATGCCGCAGCAAACATTTCAGTGTCAAAAAGGTGGATGTAGCTTCTCGTCTAGAGAAAGAACGGGATTGTATAACATTAGTACTGACAACATTAGGCTTACAGGCAATGTGGAAGTACGGTAAAGCTCTATATTATCAAACACCCATGCAATGGGGGATTTATTTTAATCGTGTATTTGCATTTCCTTTTTACCAGCATTTTTACTTACATCTGTATTTCATATTTTATTAATTATTAGATAAGTAATTGTAGTTATGTGTCCCCAATTAGTGTACATAGTGTGGGAGCGACTTCGATACTTTCATAAAGTTCTGTTCTGTTCTTATCTCGTCTCGTCTCGTCTCGTCTCATCTCATCTCATCTCATTTTATCTCATCTCATCTCAGCTCAGCTCAGCTCAGCTCAGCTTAGCTTAACTCAGCTCAGCTCAACTCAGCTTAGCTTAGCTTAGCTTATCTTATCTTATCTTATCTTATCTTGACAGATGTCTTTGTTGCGGTATCGCTTTTACTTATTCCGTTGCTCTAGATCTAAGTTAGTCTGATGACTACTAGATTATTTTTCCTAGACGTCGTCCTTAGATACATCTGATCACACCCAGGCGTAAGAATCTACCTCAATTTCACTGTCATCCTCCTTTTTGACAGCGACAGAAACATGCCATGACTTTTCTTTCTTACCGAGCGAATCCCGTTGTGTTTCCCGGTAGCTGATTGGGAGAAATTTCATCGCCCAGTCCATAATGATAAGTACCTGGTTATCGACCAGGTTCTCGATAACAATATTTTTTTGCGGTGTCCTGATGAGTGGCCCTGAGGATATGCGCTTTCCACCCATCAATATCAGGAATTGCGTTATCCATATCGTACTGTAATTCTTCCAGCCGGTCTTTACTGCCAAGTGACGTATAACAATATTAGATATGCTTTCTTTGAGATTTCCAAACCTGTATATTGTTTGGAAAATTCTTTCCGGGATTCTAAACAAAATCAAGAAAGTGATCAACCTTTGCTGGGTGCAGTCTACTTCGCTTTATCTGTGGTGGTTCTATTTGTTGACCAGGTTCATTAAGAAAAGCGTGTTTTCTTGCTTCATCAATAGACCATTTTACAGTTGTCTGCTCAGTGACCTGGCCTTTGTATGGCAGCGAGGCTAGAGTTGACCTTGTTTTGATACAGACCTCACTGCTTTTGTCATGTWAATGCACCTAGTTAGCATCAGAACAACTTGTTTTACACAACAAAAGCAGTGAGGTCTGTATCAAAACAAGGTCAACTCTAGCCTCGCTGCCATACAAAGGCCAGGCCACTGAGCAGACAACTGTAAAATGGTGTATTCTCCATTTTGTAAGACCCGGAATTAAGGTCAATAATTCTGACTTTGGATGGTCACAAACAAAAATCGAGAGTATCTGCTGTCTGGTATACCATGAATTTGACCCTAAATAGAGCTTTACAAGTCTTGCAAGAAGTTCATTATCTGGTACGTTTCTATCCATTCCTCTGCTGCACTTCTCAACCACCCGATGGAAAAGCCAAGTGGACTACTCCGGTGCAATTGCCTCCAGTACTGTCTCTACTGCTTGCATTGCGTTACGTTTGTATTAGCGACTTGAGAAAGAGGACAAATTCAAGACATCTGTACAAAGCTGAGATCGAACGGGACTTGGCTTCCATCCGCAGAGTTTCGGAGAAAGTTATTGAGATAGTGAAGCCTATGCTGTACTTGAGGAGAAGACTGCCATTTTAGTGACGTTTCGACTTCAGGAACTGATTCTTGTGAAGCGGACGAAAACGCCTCTGAACTGGCATCATCTGCCCTCACTGGAAGTTGTTGAGTTGGTGTTACCTCAGGACCTACCTCTTGTGAGGCGTATGAACGTGCCTCAGACCTTAAATCGTCTGCTCCTGCTGGGAGTTGTGGAGTTGGTATTACCCGTATAGAAGTATAAAAATGTACGTTACGAAAATTATAGTATAATGCAGGTGCGTTTCTTTTCCCTCGTCTTCAAGAGGACCAAGCAAAAATGGAAAGGAGGAAACTTACCTCACTAGCCTGTTCTTGGCTTGATGACGGGCTAGTTTCAGGTTCCCTGACTGTAATACGCTCAGCGGAAGGCTGAAGTTCTGGTGATGTGAGAACCTCGAGAAGAGCAGCACTATGTTCCCTCCGGCATAATTTGCAAATACCTATAATAGTTCGTAGCATAAACATGAAAATATATTTTACGAGGGGAATAGGGTAGGGGGACCAAGTACATTTATTAAGCGGCAGTATGTGTCCTTTTCAGTATCGATAGCTAACTTTATTTTGCAACAAAAATAAACCTTCCTTACAGAATCATTGTCGTTAGCTGCAATTTTTTTTCCTGATTGTCAATTGTTGGTGAAACACTGAAAGGAGCACATAAAGTTGGGGTTTCTCGCTCAACTCTGGAGGTTTGACTCGCCGTCACTTTCCACCTATCCGTACAAAGGCGTTTTTCTCCGTGTTCACCCAGTCGCTTTCCTTGCTTTCACATTGACCCTATACTTAAGACTAAAACAGCGCGTTCGTATATGGCCAACGCAGAAGTTGAACCTGCTTTGAAATGGACATTCATCTACGATCCTGTAACTTATATGCAAAGTAAATGGTAAAAAAAAACAACTTTTTCAATTCTTTGTTGAAGCTCTTGCCGCAAGAAGTGAGCGGATATAACGATGATACATTATTTTTAGTATAACTTCCAGAGGTGAACTGAAGAATTAGACATTCTGATTGGTCGACAATCTCAGCTTTTGACGTTATATTCGCCGCGCTAGACGATGAATATAGCATTTCTAAGCTAGGATTCGAGGCATTTAGAAGGCGTAAAAGCAATGGATTCGAAATCGTCAGTCAAACTGTGTCCGATTGAGTAAAAGAAGTTTGTTGTTCTTCAGACTGAAGCTACTCTGTTATTATTAGAGACTGAATATAGCAATGCATGAAGTCAACAACAATGAAACATACGTGAGGTGCCTAGTGTTTTTTCCCTGTATATTTACTGTCGGTTAAAATATTCGATATGTTAACTGGAATCAAACGAACAACAGCCTCTGCGTTTGCGTGTTTCAGTCTGTTATTTTGTTGTTCTTGATATTCCCCTCTGGAAATTATACTAAAACAATTGTTTTCCTCAGGCTCAGGGAACATTACTTTCGTCTTGGCAAAATAGTCACTGCTACCATTCGATTCAATTTTTCTCTTCCTTGCCATTGGCCAAGAGCTTAGCACGTGACCTGCAAATAATTACCTAAAAATAATGGTCTCCTCTGTCTAAATGTGTTCTGCTCATGTGTGATTGTATCCACGCTATTGTTTAAAAAATGGCAGAAGCTTCTCGAAGCTGTCAGAGAGTGATTTAAATATTCATATTTAAACAAATTTGGCAATCGGATGATAAAACAATTATTGAACTCGATTATCGCAAAACATCGTGATTTGTCAGTGTCTCGCAGATCAATTATTTGCCTCAGCCTTCGCTTTCGGTATATAACTGATCTGTTTGCCGTTAATCAATCATAATATTTTGCTCAACGTCGTCCAATAATTGTTTTTAATGTTCACTTTGCCTTTGGCGAGCAATTGTTAAATGCAGCCGCACTATTTTCCATCACACCCAGTAGCTATTAACCGTGAATAAATTTATTAATTACCAGTTACCAAACTACAAATATAAATATTACAGTCATATTGTAGCAAAACTTGCAATACCATTAAAAAAAATCAATAATGCCATATGGTATACGAAAGTTATTACAATTCAACAGTATATGCCATTAAAACAAGTCAGTTTAAATAAAATAAGTCAACAAAAACAGATAAAAAGAATTTATTAAGAAGGCTTTCTTCAAATGATAAGTCTTTAGTTTGCGCTAGAATTCGTTTAGAGATTCGCCACATCGATCTCAAGAACGAATGTCCAGAGAAAGAGCAATCAAACTTTAACGCTACCTTCGGTCATTCGATCTGCTGAGTCTCACTACGCGAGAGCACCAGAGTATAATTGGTTTTACTCAATCAGCGACATCTCCTGTCGCTCGGTATCGCATGTTGCAGAGACCTAATTTACATCACAAATGCAGAGCAGAAAGGACTTGTTTTTGAAACTCGAACTGACGTTGAAAATTAGCAAACTATAATTATTTGAACGCGCTAAAATGACTATATTGCCTTTCAAAGGCTAATTGCTTGGCAAAATGGACTAAGTAAAATGCGGCTTTTGTTATTATTATTCTCTCACAAAATGCGCTACTCACTTTCTCTGCGTAAGTTTCTTATGCCTTCTGAAAAAAAGCCTTTCTCCCAGGCATGGCCATTTAAACAATTTCATATCTTGCCAATTTGCCAAAAATGAGGAAGATTTCAATATAACTTACGTGTGCAGCATGTGAATAATATTGATATAAGCAACAATACTGCCACCTGGCTTGGGAATCGTCACAATGTTGCTAGGAGTGGGTCGTCAAGACCTGCAACTGAATACACAAAGTATTTCATTTCCACCATGTTAAAGATGAATAGTAACAAGCTGCTATCCTACTGCTACTTTGTTGTGTTCTGCCTTGCCATCTTAATTGGTGTTGTTCAAGGACCTTATAAAGATGGAGATATCATTTTGGGTGGACTTTTAAGGGTTCATTTGAGAGGAGATTCTGAAAACCAATGCGGTGAGCTTGACGTTAGGGGTTTAAATCGCGTGTTCGCCATGATATTTGCCATTGAGAAGATAAACAACGATTCAAAATTACTTCCAAACATATCTCTGGGCTATGACATACGAGATTATTGCGAGATTTCCTTAAAAGCTACACGAATTTCTTACGATCTTATTAAAGACAAGCTCCTCACGAACATGACGCAAGGTAAACTTGGAAGAAAATCGATCACGGCTCTAATCGGTCCAGACGAATCTAGCACCGCTGTTGTTATCGCTGGTCTTCTTCAAGCCTTGAATGTTTCAGCCATTAGTCCGACTGCGACCAGTCCTGAACTAAGTGCTTATACTTACCAGTATTTGTATCGAGCACCGCCTTCAGACTCTTTTAAAGGGAAAGCCATGGCTGACCTCATAGAACATTTTAAATGGAGTTATGTAGCCGCCATTGGACAGGATGACACATATGGACGAAACGGGCTTTGGTCTGTAGTCAGAGAAGCTGAAGCTAGAAACAACTCATTTTGCCTTGCTATGGCGAGATTTATATCCCATGAAAGTCCCATTTTGAGCATTAGAAACATCGTCACAACACTTCGTCGGCAAGAAAATATTAGAGTCGCGATTCTGTGGATACACGGTAGCTATGCAACGCACTTTTTCACTGAGGTCTACAGACAAAACCTGACTGGGCGAGTTTGGATCCTAAGCGACGTCTTCATTTCTGACTCAATCCCAGGTTTTTCTTCCATCCTTGATGGATCCATAGTCGTCAAGCCTCGTCGATTTTCCGCTGACAAAGAATTTGAAGAACGCAAAGAAGTTTTAACTATCGCAAAGCTTAATGAAACCTTTCCGGAGTGGTGGAGCGAGATTAAAACGCTTATAACAGATTGCTCGGCAAGTTATAAGAATGCAAATTCAACAGACCAATGTTTCAGTGATTTTGTTCAACGCATGCAGAGTTCTTACACTCCCTACGTCATTGACGCTGTTTATTCAATGGCACATGCTTTGAACATCTTATTTGAAAACAACACAGCGAAAGATATCGATTACAAGCTGAAACTCACCATGGATATTAACGTGATGAAAAGCCTCCTTTCTAGGGTTAGTTTTGCTGGACTAACGGGAAATGTAAGTTTTGATAAAGATGGCGACAGACAATCGGTCTTGTACGACATTGTCAATTTTCAGCAAGTGGAAGAAGGCCATACTAAGCGACTAGAACAAATTCTGGTCGGAAATTGGAAAGACAATGAGCACCATGCCAAACGGCTACATTTTGTCCAAGAGATTCACTGGAACTCTCCAACTAACCAACCTCCAAAGTCTGAATGCTTAGACCAATGCCCTGCTGGAACTAGAAAATCAATCACTTCACCATGTTGTTGGAACTGTGTCGCATGTCCTCGTGGCACAGTCAACGCGATTCCTGGCTTGGAGTCCTGCATTGAATGTCCCAGAGGGAAAAAATCCAATGAAGCCAGGACCCATTGCGTCGATTTACCGGTGGCCAATCTCAAGTATTCCAGCGCAGGAGGAATAGTTATTCTTGTATTTACTGTTGCTGGCATAATAACCACCCTCTTTTCGTTTGCTATCACTTGTAGATTTTGGAATACTCCAATTGTTAAGGCATCCAACAGAAGATTTAGCGTCGTCCTCCAGATAAGTGCTCTGTTGCTGTTGACTCTAGTGATTATCAATCTTTTCGAACCTTCAGATACAACTTGCAAGGTCATTTATCCATGGCGTTACTTAACTTACAACTTGGGCCTATCATTCCTACTAGTGAAAATTTTACGCATTTCCAGTGCTTTCCAAATTCCTTTAGCGCGTTCACCTGTGGCAATCACTCTTACCAATAGACTGCAAGTAGTGATCATAATAATCATGCATATTGTGTTGTTACTTGTGTTACTACCATGGCAGCTTCTGGATCCACCTATCAAAAAGAAACACATTCTAACGGGACAGTACATTTTTATTGAGTGTAAGGCATACAGCATGGTAGTCGGAAAAAGCCTTTTTCTGGTAACGTGCTCTTACATTCTTATTCAAATACTTTTTGCTGCATTTTGTTCTTTTAAAATAAGGAACGTTCCAGAAAACTTTAGTGAGGCTAAACGAATAGCATTTTCGATGTACATATTTTCGTTTTCAGTTTTAGCTTATTACCCCATAGAGTTCTCACTGAGTGGATGGTATGTGACTGTTGTAGACTGTGTTACGACATTGTTGAGTGCTTATGGCTTTATTTGTTGTATACTAATACCAAAGATGTATATCATTTGGTTTAGGCCGGAACTGAACAATTTACATCAAATCCGTAATGAAGTAACTGAATTCTCGTTTAGAACCAATTCCGCTTTGCGCATTAACCCTGTATCTGGCTCCTAAGTAATGTATCAAACAGGTAAGACCGTGTTTGACCACATTTCCAAACACCGAGAAGAGACTTGAAAACGCGACGCACAGCGGAGTATTTTTGACGAACTTCGAGGTGTTTAGAAATGTGGTCAAACACTGTCTTGACTTCCTTTGTCTAAACTTGATGCATTATAATGAGTTTGAGAATGTTGAATCCACCATGCATGTCCACAGTTAAGCAAAGTTAATCTCCAACTAATTTCTTTGGTCTTTTTATAGTTACAATTTTGTCCTGTCTATAATTAAAATTGACAATGAAATATTTAACCATATTTACCCGTTCGACTTGAGTTGGTTTATTTATTTTTCTTTCTCATTGGTTTTTGCGCCGGATTCGGGATCCAGCGCTCCGGCATCGAACTCTGGATGAGTTAATTGCGTTGCGTTTTTTGGACAGTCACCTGGTTCCCGTCTTCTACAACCAGGTGCAGAAGTACCTGGGAATTTAATGGGTTGGAATAGTTTCCAGTTCATACTAAAGATACTGGCGAAAAGTGTCGACTTGATGAGCAACTAGGCTGGAATAGAGGCCTAAATTAAATATATATATCGTAGTTTACTATTTGCGACGAAGTTAGATGGGAATTTAGTACCTATGCATGGCCCGCTGGAGAAATAGCTTTGATAAAAGATGTTTTTCGACTACCAGCTGCATCCTTTTTTTGTTTCTGTTTTGTTTGTATGTTTTTTGTCCGCTATGGATGAGGATAACGTTCGCGTTTTATTTTTTCTAAATGTTGTCATTAATCTGGGATGGAATGGTACTGTGTTAACCTGATGGAAAATGTGAACTTTACCTCAAGTCCTGGCCAAACAGACTCGTAAGTAGTCGTAAGTACTCCCACAAGTTGAACTTGCGTAGAGACTTGCGTTTGGTGGCCAATTGGACTCGTAAGTTTCCTCGCAAGTATACGTAAGGCGCCAAAAACGTCATTTCATGGCTACGTGCTCACTCCCACGCGGCCAATATCCTGTGTTTTATTTTCTAATAGGTTGCTGTAACAACGAATGGAGTCACTCAACTTGCGTTGACTTGGGTCGGGTGTTCAAACGGTGAAAAACTTGCGTCGACTTGCATGCAAATTTGGTCTTGACCAAAGCAAAGGCAAGTCATTGCAAATCATCGCAAGAGCACGCAAGGCCTGGCCAAACGGAGTCGCAAGTACACCAAAGTTTGCAACTTGCGTCTACTTGCGAGTCCATTTGGCCAGGGATTTAAATGCTGTTTGGCATTGCTTTTGGATAGATTTTTACTATAGGGAAAACAATTAAGGCTCACACTTTAAATGTAAATAATCAATTGTACTTTCACCTGCTTTAAAAATCCATTTTCGGTCTTGGACTGTGCATGTCCAATATCTTCAGTTTTTGGCTTATCATTGTACGCGAAAAAATATTCTGTCAGGAAAGCACAATAAGTTAACAAAAGAAATGGCTGTCGATCCTAGATCGTCGATGATCATATATGTATGTGGAAACCACTCCCCTAAGTAACCCAAGAGTCTTTCGCAGCACTTTAACTTGAATGATCACCAACGTAATAAAATGGACGAGTTGCCCGAAGATAATTATTGTTAAAATGGGAACAGCTAATTGCGGGGAGAATCAGGTAACCTAACTACTATGAGTAGCTAACTCTCCGGAAGTCTGATTTAAATGTGAAAAGAAACGAGGAACCCTTGTTTTTACAGGAAAAAACCCCTGGTAGAGTGAAATAAAAATAGTTTGATGGAGTTTGCTGTAAACAATGTCAACGAATTATAATTAAACAGAAAATGCTCTCTCCAACAAAATTAACATCAGTATTAGAATTAATGAATGCGTCAATATCTTTTACCGGCCCTCAAAGGCTGTTTCTGTTCGGTGTAATAATTTCCGAAGGCGTCATTTCTCAGAAACCAAACCTCGAAAACGTTTTTGCCGAAAATGCTCTCGTGAGCATTCAAAATAAGTTGCATGTTCGACATTTTGCTATTGTTGATTTTCGTAAATAGTATCACCTGCTTTTCTAATTGACCGGTGTTAAATGTCAACGATCAATACAACTTCAGAAAATGCTTTCATTCTGAGATACCTCGCTGTTTTCCACCTTTCCATCCGCGCCGTTGTTCGAGGGCCGCATACAGCGAGAGTTCATTTTGGGTGGACAAATTAGCGTTCATTTGAGAGGACTTCATAGATTCAGAACAAGTGCGGTGAGCTCGATGTCAGTGGCTTGTATCACGCGCCGGCCATGATTTTTGCAATTAAAGAGATAAGTAAAGATTCAAATCTACCTCCAAAATAACTTTCGTGAAAGATTTACGAAATTATTGCCCCAGGCTAAGAATCTTCGAGAATCTTCGTGAGAATCACTTTCTTTGTTACTGGCAGTGATCGTAGAGTATCTTCCTTGAAGACTTTCGCCTTAAAGACCCTAAAAGAAATGGCGTTACTGGATACCAGCGTTTGTAAAGGTCAAGTGAAACGAAGCAACGTTTGTAACAACAACTTTTGTTAGAACAATTTCCCAACAAATGGCGCTGCTTAGCAACAGCTCATTGCGTCTGCGTACTTAGCTTATTCCTAGTGCAACCTATTCTTCAAATCAGAAATAGACATTTTGAACAATTTTATATCTTGGCCATTTTTCAAGAATTGAGGAATTATTCAAAATAAATTGTATGTGCAGCATGTCAATGTTGCTGAGATAGATAAGCGACAATACTGCCACCTGGCTTGGGAATTCTGCATTGTTGCTAGGAGTGGGCCGTCAATACTTACAACTAAATACACAAAGCATTTCATTTCCTACATTTTAAAGATGAATAATTTCAAGCCTCCATCATACAGCTACTTCGTCGTGTTCTACCTTACCATCTTGTATGGTGTTGTTCAAGGACCTTACAAAGATGGAGATGTCATTTTGGGTGGACTTTTAAGGGTTCATTTGAGAGGAGATGCTGAAAACCAATGCGGTGAGCTTGATGTTGGGGGCTTAAATCGCGTGTTCGCCATGATATTTGCCATTGGAAAGATAAACAGCGATTCAAAATTACTTCCAAACATATCTATTGGCTACGATATACGAGATTATTGCGAGGTTTCCCTAAAGGCTACACGAATTTCTTACGATCTTATTAAAGACAAGCTCCTCACGAACATGACGCAAGGTAAACTCGGAAGCAAATCGATCACGGCTCTAATCGGTCCAGACGACTCTAGCACCGCTGTTGTTATCGCTGGACTTCTTCAAGCCTTAAATATTTCAGCTATCAGTCCGACTGCGACCAGTCCTGAACTAAGTGCTCAAACTTATAAGTATTTGTATCGAACGGCGCCCTCGGATGCCTTTAAAGGAAAAGCCATGGCTGACCTCATAGAGTACTTCAAATGGAGTTATGTCGCCGCTGTCGGACAAGATGACACATATGGACGAAATGGACTTTGGTCGGTAGTAAGAGAAGCTGACGCTAGAAACAATTCATTCTGCCTTGCTATGACGACGTTTATTCCGCAAGAAAGTCGCATTTTGAGCATTAAAAACATTGTTACAACCCTTAGTCGGCGAGAAAATATCAGAGTTGTGATTTTGTGGTTATACGGTAGCTATGCAAAGCACTTTTTCGATGAGGTCTACAGACAAAACCTGACTGGGCGAGTCTGGATCCTGAGCGACGTCCTCATTTCTGATTCCATTCCAGGTTTTTCTTCCATCCTTGATGGATCCATAGTCGTCAAGCCTCATACTTCTTCGGCCGACACCAAATTTGAAGAACATAAAAATGATTTATCTATTGCAACAATTAATGAAACCTTTCCGGAATGGTGGAGCGAGATAAAGACGCTTATAACAGATTGCTCGGCAGGTGATGAGAACGCGAATTCAACGGAGCAATGTTTCCATGATTTTGTTCAGCGCATGCAAGGTTCTTATACTCCGTACGTCATTGACGCTGTTTATTCAATGGCACATGCTTTGAACATCTTAGTCGAAAGCACCACAGTGAAGGATATAGATTACAAGCTAAAATCTACCATGGATATTGATGTGATGAAAAGTCGCCTTTCTAGAGTTAGTTTTGCTGGACTAACGGGAAATGTAAGTTTTGATAAAGATGGTGACACTGTTGTGAAAAAGATGGCTTATGACATTGTCAATTTTCAGCAAGTGGTAGAAGGTCACACTAAACGAACGAGACAGGTTCTTGTCGGACAATGGATAGAAAATGAGCCCCACGCCAAACGGCTACATTTTTCCCATAACATTCACTGGAACACTCCAGCTAACCGACCTCCAAAGTCTGAATGCTTGGAGCAATGCCCTGCTGGAACTAGAAAATCCACCACTTCACCATGTTGTTGGAACTGTGTCGCATGTCCTCGTGGCACAGTCAATCCAATTCCTGGCTTGGAGACCTGCATTGAATGTCCCAGAGGAAAAAAATCCAATGAAGCCAGGACCCATTGCGTGGATCTACCAAGGTCCAATCTCAAGTATTCCAGCCCAGGAGGAATAGCTATTGTTGTATTTACTGTTGCTGGTATGGTAGCCACCCTCTTTTCGTTTGCTGTCACCTGTAGATTTTGGAATACTCCAATTGTTAAGGCGTCTAACAGGAAGTTCAGCATCGTCCTCCAGATAAGCATTCTGTTGCTCTTAACTCTGGTGGTCATCAATCTTCTTAAACCTTCAGATACAATATGCAAAATTACTTATCCATGGCGTTACTTAACTTACAACTTGTGCCTCTCATTTCTACTAGTGAAAATTTTGCGTATTTCCAGTGCTTTCCAAATTCCATTAGCACGTCCACTTGTGGTAATCTCTCTTACCAATAGAAAGCAAGTAGTAATCATAATAGCCATGCATATTGTGTTGCTACTTGTGTTAATACCCTGGCAGCTTCTGGATCCACCTATCAAAAAGAAACACATTCTAACGGAACAGTACATTTTTATTGAGTGTAAAGCATACCGCGAAATAGTTGGCCAAGGCTTCTTCCTGGCAACGCGCTCTTACATTCTCATCCAAATACTTTTTGCTTCATTTTGTTCTTTTAAAATAAGGAAAGTACCAGAAAACTTTAGTGAGGCTAAACGAATAGCATTTTCGATGTACATATTTTCGTTTTCAGTTTTAGCTTATTATCC